TGCTATCAAATAGCACACCTAGGTTCCTAACTGATGACGAAGAATTGACAGAGCAGCCATCAAGTGTTAGACAGCGTTCTAGATTATTACATGTGGAGTTTTTTGGTCCTATAATTAACACCTCTGTTTTTTGAGAATTTACCAGTAAGAAATTACTTGTCATCCAGTTTTTTATATCGTCTATGCATTCCGTTAGTTTTTCAAATTGGTATGTTTCGCCGGGCCGCGAAGAAATATAGAGCTGAGTATCTATACTTGAAGCCCGCCCTCTGAGAAATACTGAAAATATTGTTATAAATTGTAGCAACTCCTCCCCCTTTACCTTTTGGACGTGGCTCATGTTTATAATAGTAATCTTGGGGGGTAGACTCGTTTAAAATAATGTAATCATCAGGTTTTAGCCAGGTTTCTGTCAAACAGAGCACATCTAGGTTATGATCGGTGATCATATCATTTACAAAAAGCGCTTTCGTAGAAAGGGACCTGATATTCAATAAGCCAAGCTATATCAATTATTTAACCGTATTACATCTGTTTTTTATTTGTTGAACATCAGTTAAATTGTTACTCTTAAATTGGTTTGGACCTTTTTTGTATTTTCTAGTTCAGGGAACAGACACAGTCTCTATAGTATGATATCTAGGTGAAAGGGTCTCTATGTGCTGAGAATTAACTGATTTCTGTGTAAATTTAGTGTTTAATAACTTTATTCAATTTCTGTATATTTCCTAATTGCTGAAGGACCACAGGTATTACATATAATTGGTTTATGTGAAGGTTTAAATGAATTGGTAAGTTCATTTAAATTAGAAGTTCTTTTTTAAAGTCTAATAAATGTTAAAATTGATAGCTCTCAATTATACTGTAATGTTGAATGGTTATCAATGGTTAAATATTAGGGGGAAAAAGAAAAATTTCCTAGAGACATCAGTAGTATTGGTATCAGTGATACAAAAAAAGATGCCATTAAACAAAAATTAAAAATATACTTTCTTTATGTTGTTATTACACTAATTTAAAGATAGAATGTGAAATTATTGCAATATAAAAATATATTTAAAAACTTTAGTCTTTGTGATTAATCATGATTAATGGCGGTTATAAAAAAATGTGCAATTTTTTTTTTTTTTATCGATTGACAGCATCAATTTTTAGCAAGCCATTGTGTTGTTTTGTGCTTTGTGTTCTTCAGGTGGTCAGCATTATTGAGTCTCGCGCGAGAGCTGTGGACCTCATGACTCACAACTACTATGAGCTTCTGTATGCTTTTCATATCAATCGTCACAACTATAGGAAAGGTAAAACTGATGGGTCAGCGTTACAATGATGTTTCAGGTTTTTGGGGGAAAGGATTAATTATTGAATTTAAAAAATAAAAAATAAAACCCTCCTGCACTTTTATAGTTATTATTGATTTATTGTTCAAATGAGCAATAAAATTGTTATCTGCAGGCAGGATTTGGCAATTAAGCCAACAGTGATTTGTTTGTGTGTTTAAGCCGGTACAGTGATGTTTGAGTACGGTATGCGTCTGGGCCGTGAGGTGCGAACTCTGCGCGGTCTACAGAAGCAGGTGAACTGTTATCTAGCTGCCCTCAACTGCCTGCGTCTCGTTCATCCGGACTACGCCTGGATTGTGCAGCCTTCGTCTGGAGCAGCGGTAAGCATCTGAAACATTTTTAATTCCTTATGTGGAGTGCTCACTCAGAATAGCTCAGTAAGAATGAAAATAAATACTTGTAGACCTACATATGAATATGTGTGTACATGAGTTTTAGTGAGTGTAATGACTTGATTACTTAATTTTATTTTATTTTATTTTAGGGAATTAATTACTATTAATTCAG